TGATGAATTTGAAGCCTGGGCCTTTATTGTATTATGCTGCTTCCTTTGTAGAGGAACTGCCTCTCAGGAAACAAAATGGTTCAAATTGCAGCGACCTGCTGTTTTCTGCAATCCTGTGCAACTATCTAAAGGACCCTGTGATGGTTTTACACACACACACACACACACACACACACACACGACACGAAATACAGAGTATGGAGGAAATTAATATTGTACAATATTAAAGACTACATTGCAGTCTTGTAAATACAGAAGGGATCGCTTTAATAGAAAATTATTGCAATGCACAATATAAAGAACATTTGGGCATTAAAAAAGACAGAATGTCAAGTTTGGCATTAGAGAAATTGCTAACTTCCATATCAGTTACACAATTTTTTTTAATGAGTAACAATATCAATACTTAGCTTGGAATATAAGCACTTACTGCTTATACTAGATGCTATGGGATGCATTTCCAGATGCTTTTAATAATATTTATAAATGGATACATTCTTCACTAAATAAAATCAAAAGACTTAAAAACTGGTAAGAGCCAGTTGATGGTTGGTTTACATTCACTGTGAATATATTCTACTATAACATTTATTTATATAAATTAGTTCAATCTTCGCAGCAGTTTTCCTGTAATCCCTTCAGGAAAAGTGAATCCCTTTTGTGTTGAAGCCATGAAGAACACTGGAAAATAAAAATATTCTAGTCTTAGTAAGATTTAGGTGGTAGAATGGATGTTACTTCCAAATGGTTTCAACATTTCCCACACAGGAGGAACAATGTTTTCTCTGTACATGTGGGAGATGACCAGGCTGAGCCCGATGGAAGGGTCAAGTCCCCTCAGGGAAAAGGGCGGCCTATAAATCCCAATAAACTCTATAAACTCTAAGTGTGTCATCAGTCTCTAGAGACTGTTAGCATGCAATAAAAAACTACTCATTTGAACCGCCTTGACTCCTGATTTCCTGCGCTTGACATTACACTTCATCTTGAAGCCAATTCTATTATAGTGACTATTTCTTCCATTTAGATAATGTTCACACCTCTGTTTCTACCATGCCACATTCTTTTCATACAGTTTTGTTCAGGACAAAGTCACTCGATGGAACCATTAGTGCCTCTATATAAAGTGGCAATGTTAAGTAACAGCTGTTAATTAATATACTAGCAAAAAAGATTAAGATATAATTTTAAGTTGCTGATGAACTTAATTTTAAGAGGAAATTACATCCAATACATTTTAATTAAAATCTAAATAATTATAATTCTAAATGTAAATCAAATCAAATATTTGTCCACATTTCACCCACTATTTAAAAACGCTGGTCCTTACTCTTCCTGATGCATAAATCTCACACTTATTTTTGCTTTCATTCCAGTAAAATCTGTTTCAACCATGAAGTTAGTAATCTTGAAGTAAATAAATCTGTTTTTACCTTATAAAATCATCAATATCCATTACTCGGGCACGTTTTTCTGAATAGCCGGTATCTTTTAGGATTTCATGTATAAGTTCAGCAATATTGAAATTTTCAGGAATGTGCTGTCGGCAAAATAGAAAATTATGTGACATAGCTCAAGACAAAGATGCTTTATAAAAGACTGTAATAGATCAGAAATATTTACCAAATTATTTTGTGAACAGTGAATTCTGTAATTCTGTTCCAGCAGCTGTTTCACAGCATTTGAACTACAATAATGAAAAAAAAGGAAAGTCACATAGAAATTCTTTTTTGAAAAATTAGAATTGTAAAATTGTTCTTTTGCAAATGTTTCTTTTCAACTGATGTTTAATGTTAGTTTGCACCAACATGCACTACATCTCTTAACACTTTAATATCCTTACAAACTGACCTTGCTTATACCATGTCCAAACATAGCTTCATACTTTTTTTCTATTTTTTAATACTCATTTCACACTAACTGAGTAATAAAAAAGCAGAAAAGAGCTTTCTGGACAGACTGATCAACCACTATAATACCTTTTCTCCTGTCTCCTAAGTTTCTTTTATTCATCAATGTATCTTTTATAGAGCAACAACTATCGATTTACTATTTTTTATAAATTGCTCTGGGAGACTTTTTTTTACTAAAGATTAGGGGGAAATGTTTGCATAATTAATACAGAATGGAAAGGTGTTGTGTTAAAACTACCCTGGACACATGCAGGATCGAAAATTAATAGAAAGGAATGCTTGCCATTTTGACATTACTAATTCTTTGTCAGATTATTACGTAGTATAATATGCAAACAAAAACAGACTATACAAGCATAGTTTACAACTTTTAACTGCTAAAGGAACAAGGAAATTTTAGCTACATAGTATTCGTACAACCAACTTCATTGTATTTACCGTATTTATCGGCGTATAACACGCAGTTTTAAAACTAAAATTGGAAGCTTAAACCCTGCCTGCGTGTTATACGCCGATAAATACGGTAAGTACAATGACAATAAAGATTATACTTATTCATATCCTGAAAGTTTAAATTCTGTTAACAAGAATACCAATCTAAAAGAATCTGCAAGAATAACCAAAAAACAAGAGGGAACAAAAATACAAGATCATCTTTAGGCACCTACATGGTGCTGTTCCTCATTTCCTTT